AGAATTAATAAGATAGAATTAATAAGATATATATCTATATATCTTATACAGAGATATAGGTATATATGAATAGATGTACAGATATAGGTAGACATATGAGATAGTCCCAGGATTTATTAGAGGAATTGGCTCACATGATTATGGGGGCTGAGAAGTCTGAGAAGTCTCACAGTGGGCCGTCTGCAAGCTGGAGACTCTGAGATGCCAGTAGCATGGCTTAGTCTAAGTCTGAAAGCCTCAGAATCAAGGAAGCTGATAGTATTAATATAATTCTCAGTTTGAGGCCCAAGACCTGAGAACCCAGAGGGACTGCTGGGTTAAGTCTGGAGTCCAAAGGCTGGAGAGCCTGAAATTCTGATGTTCAAGGGCAGAAGAAAAGTGTGCTAGCTCCAGAAGAGAGATAATAGATGACCTTTCCTTTGCCTCTTTTGTTCTGTTATGTCCCCAGCCAATTGGATGGTGCCTGGCCACACTGAAGGTGAATCTTCACCACCCAGTCCACCGACTCACACCCCAATCTCCTCTGCAAACACCCTTACAGACACACACAGAAATAATGCTTTACTAGTTCTTTAGGTATCTCTTAATTCAGTCAAGTTGACACCTAAACTTAACCAACATACAATGCAATTACAAATGCTATAATGCACATGCGAGATAAGGCTCATCAACACTAAAAATTGCTCACTGGCAAATGGATCTGTCTCTGTCCTTCTTTTGGTGGCATCTTATAGGAGAGCTCAGAAAGCTCCAGCTGCTTAACATGAAGTCACAGATTTCTGTCTTCCTAGTGGGCTTTGGAAAAGTCACTTTCCCTTTCTGGACCTCTTTAAAACAAGTCATTTATTCAGTAAGGTAAGGGAGAGCAATCTAGAAAACAAACTATCTGCACTACTCCGATGCCAGGCTCACCTGTCCAGAGGCCCTTTATGCCTAGAAAAGTCTGTAGCATATAGTAAGTGCTCAATAAATATATGTGAAAACTACATATTTCACAGTATCAGTCAAAAGAGAAAGTTAAATGTTCAAATCAGAAACAACGGCATATTGAAGCAAAATGCTGGCTGGGCTTAGTGGTTCATGCCTGAAAGCCTAGCACTCCAGGAGGCTGAGGCTGGAGCATTGCTTGAGCTCAGGAATTCGAGACCAGCCTGAGCAAGTACAAGACCCTGTCTCTCTACTAAAAATAGAAAAATTAGCCAGATGTCGTGAAATGTGCTGTAGTCCCAGCTATTGGAGAGGTTGAGGCAGGAGGATCACTTGAGCCCAGGAGTTTGAGCTATGGGAATACCACAGTGAGCTATGGGAATACCATTATACTATAGCCAAGGCAACAAAGGGAGACTCTGTCTCCAAAAAATAAATAAATAAAAAGCAGAATGTTGGGAAAATAACATAAGCCCAAAGATAAGTTCTTCTTTAACATTTGCTTCAAAGTTGAATGTATTTTTTTCTGGATATATTATTTATACATTTTACATGTTATAAGACATATGCAATTATGAAAAGATTATAATCTCTCTGAACCTTTCCAAAAGGAATCCATCCTATAGTGGAATGTGGAGACAATTTATAATTGTGTGTTTCTTTTTTATTTGGAAGAAAATTTAAAAGACCTATTCATTTCACATTACAAAACATAACATGTTTTGTAAATATATTTAAAAGCAGTTGGAGGATGACAGAGACCAAACAAAGATGGTTTTGAGGGAAATTTGAAAGGTTTTGGGACATATATCTCTGTCATTATGCCAGAAAAAAAAATAACCTTCAGCTGATGAAGGTTTTAACCTTTTAAACCTTCCTCTGATTTGAGGGTTTAAAATCAAACTTCCAAATAATAACCAGAAGAAAGAGATTTAAAAAACTAAAATCAGTTCCCTATGGGTAACGGTTATATCTGGATGGTAGACTGGGAAAAGACAGAAAATTCTATATAACACATCCTTCCTCCTATCCCTTATTTTTAATATTTTTATCCATACAAGTATATTGCATTGATTAAATACGTTTGTCAAGTATTTAAAAGAAGACTACAGAATGAACTATTTAAACTGTCAACAAACAGTTCTTTATGCAAAACTAAAGTTTTCTGTCAGATTGGGTAGTACAAATTACTTCTCTTTACCTGTGAGAATCTAACCCTAAAACTTGAAACCCAGTTCTGGGCCTTATAGACTCACCTATGATATTATCCTACAATATTTATCTTCAATCTGATAATAAAATGTATTCTTACCTCTGGTGCTATGTTTTATCCAGCCCAGTTGGCTTCAGCAGGATCTACACGTTAATAGTCAAAGAGAAATTGTTCTAGAGTTCCAAGAACTGAATGAATTGAGGAGGTCACCTAATGAGGTTTTATTTGTGATACTTTAAGAAAAGACAACTCTTGGCTGGGCATGGTGGCTCATGCCTGTAATCCTAGCACTCTGGGAGGCCAGGGCAGGAGGATCTCTTGAGGTCAGGAGTTCAAGACCAGCCTGAGCAACAGCAATACCCTGTCTCCACTAAAAATAAAAAGAAATTGGCCAGACAACTAAAAATAGAAAAAACTAGCCAGGTGTGGTGTCACACACCTCTAGTCCCAGCTACTCAGGAGGCTGAGGCAGGAGGATGGCGTGAGCTCAGGAGTTTGAGGTTGCTGTGAGCTAGGCTGATACCACTGCACTCTAGCCCAGGCAATAGAACAAGACTTTGTCTCTAAAAAACAAACAAACAAACAAAAAACGCTTACTCTATCAGCATTTTTCTCAAGGAATCATTAATGTTGGTGCTTTCTCACACTCCATCCCTTCCAAGGCATCCATGTACCTTTGTGGTGTTCTGGAACCTAGAAAAGGAGTTCTGTGGTAAGTGGAGTTATGGCCCTCAAGAGAATTCCACCCTGGGAATGTGAGGTGATATCATGCCTGAAAATATGTTATTGTACATGACAAAAGAGACTTTGCAGATGTAATTAAGGTTACTAATTGGTTACTCTAAAAGTAAGGAAATTATTCAAGAGTATCTGGGTGGCTACAATAATCACATCTCTTAAAAGCAGAGAACATGCTCTGGCTTATGACAGAGAGAAAAGCAGAAGGAGAAGCCAGAGAGATTCAAAGCATGAGAAAAATTTGATGCTCTGCTGAGTTAAAGCAGGATTTGAAGTATTGAGAATCCTTAAAGAAGGATTTGAAGATGGGGGTGCCCAGGGACCTCAGTCCAACAATCTCAAGGAATTGAAATCTGTCAATAACTTGAATGAGCTTGAAATTGTGTTCTTCCCTAAGAGTTTCCAGACAAGTACCTAGATGGGAATCTTAATTTTGGCCCCATGAGATCCTAAGCAGGGAAATCAGCTCAGCAATACTGTGCTTGGATTTCTGACCTATGGAAACAGTGAGGTAATGAATCTGTACTGTTTACACTACTAAATTTGTGGTAATGTTATGACAGGAATAGGAAACTGATAAAAGTTCTACCATTGCCATTTAACCTGCCAAAAACCTTGGACTTGCATAAGTTAACTATATTACACACAAATCTAGATTGCAATGTTAGTCCAATCCCATGGATCATACATACTCGGGTCTTCTGACACCCACATTTATACTCTATGTTCACTGCAACAGTCCTCAAACTTTAGCATGAATCAGAATCACCTGGATGGCTTTTTAATATGCCATTTTCTGGTACTCATCCCCAGAGTTTCTGATTCAGTAAGTCTTGGGTGTGGCTAAAGAATTTGCATTTCTAATATGTTCCCAGTTGATGTTGCCATTACAAAGTGAGATCTAGAGATCTCACTTTGAGAACCAGTAGTTTACAGGATGCTGTTGTTCCTCTTAATTTTATTTTTAATCTCCGCTGGAAAGGGCTTGTTATCTGAAGTTTAGAGTTGCTGTAGTGGTCCTTTAGGGAACATGAGAGTATTATCACGATGCCTTGTGCCCATTTGTGCTTGAGAAATGGAAGCAAGGGCCATGCAGCATCTGCCTAAACTGCTTTTGAGAGAAAGTTCAATGAAAATCATTTAGTTCTATCTTGTGGCAAAAATGTTAACCACACACCCACCTCTATTAGATTTCACTCAAACTCAGCCAGCAAAGATTTTCTGTTCTTCTTGTCTGGTATTTTAAAACCTTTAGCACAAATCGAGTCCCTATTGTCAAGAATTTAGGAATTAAAAAGTCAATGGACAAACAACAGAAAATCTATGTTCCAAAAATTGCCCAGGAAAAGCATAATAGTGCAAAGAAGGTAGCCATGTCCTATAGAATAATGTAACTAAATTAGTTCACATAAGAGGAAGAAAAATGGGGCTGGATACATCTTAAGGCAAGCAGAAACAATCTTTCCATTTTCTATGTAAGGAATGTAAAACAAATGATACTTTATAGCTCATCAAAAAGTACCTCTTGACTTTATATATTCTTTTCACATTAGATGAATTTTCAATTTTTAGCAAATTTATTGAGGTACGGTTTACTTATCGTAAAGTTCACTAGTTTTAGATGTCTAATTTAAGGATTTTTAGCATTTTTACCGAGTTGTTGTCAACCATCACCATAATCCAGATTTAGGTTTTAATTATCCCAACAATACTTCTTGTGCCGTTTTATAGTTAGTCCTCATTCCCCATCCCCAGTCTCTAAACAACCACAATTTACTTTCTGTCTTTACAAATGCCTTTTCTGGACATTTCATATAAATGGAATGATATAATACATGTTCTTTTGTGCCTGGCTTCCTTCACATAGCACAGTGTTTTTAAGGTTCATCCATGTTGCGGCTTGTATCAGTATTTCATTTCTTTTTAATTCTGATGAGTATTCCCAATTGACTTTTTAATATTTATATTAAAAACTTTATAATATTGGAAGTGTGTAACAGGAATAGCTCCTTCTTCCAAACAGTTTAATTTCTACATTACTGTTCCTCAAAAATTTCCACCAAAGGCAGAGGTGGGGGAGGGGCACAGGCATGAGTGTTTGACCCACACTACTTACCCGCCTTTTTAGAGAAAGTCCGAGGCAGGAAGATTGCTTTGAGGTCAGGAGTTTGAGACCAGCTGAGTAAAAGCGTGACTTGCCTCCACAGAAAACAGAAAAATTGGCCGGCGTCGTGGTGTCCGCCTGTAGTTCCAGCTACTCCGGAGGCTGAGGCAGGAGCGTCGCTTGAGGCGGGAAGTTCGCCTGAGCCAGGAGTTGGCGGGAGTTTGCCGTTGCAGCCACCGCACTCTAGCGGGCTACAGAGTGAGTCCTTATCTCCACACACACACAAAAAAAAGTCCGTCCTGAAGTGGCTTTCCTGTATTCTATCCTGGGGCTGGGGAACTGTGGGATTTCTTTTACAAGGAAGAGGGTTTGAGTTCAAGAATTAGTGAATGATAGGCAATAACTGAGAATTTACTCAGTATGTTCCAAAAATGTTGAAGTATATGCTGAAGGCAGACTATCCGCGCTTCATACTTTCTGTCTCTCACACAGACGGAGATCTTCACCCGTGAGGCGCCCCGCGCCGCATGCGCAGTGGGGAGCCCGCCATCTGCCCTCAGGCGCAGTTGTGTCTGACCAGCTCCTAAAGACGCTAGGTGGCTCTTGTGCATTCTTTGTCACCCTGTTACCTGCTGGTACTGAGAAATCCATACCGAGGACTCTGAGACACCCGAGAGCTGGGAAATGGTGAGTGTGAGGCACCTGGTGTCTCCAGCGGACGGTAATGGTCGGAAACTGCTGTGGCCTCGGGTCTCGGGTCTCCTTTGGTCAGCTACGGAGTCTGAAGACCCCACTGAGCTGACCCCACCGGCCCTGCTCGGCCCTCAGTCCCCTCAATGGGGGCTGGGATAGCACCTGGCACCTCAGGCGTCGTGTCCTATCTGCATGAGGTGACCTCAGCCCTGCCCCGAAGCAGTCTGTGGGCAGCTCTGCCTGCAGCCACACATTACGCAGATTGTCCCCACTCAGTCAGTGGGGTTCGTGCATTTGAGAATCCATTTGGGTCAGAACCATGAGGTGAATTCAGGGAGAGTTTCCTAACTTGTGAGAACCGAAGCCTGGGGAGGGAGAATTTCTTTGCTGCCAGGAGAAAAGAGGATGTGTGGCGCTCCCAGAGGTCTTTCCTGTGGCTGCTGAGACACCCCTGACCTTCGTCACCACGGACTAATTCCCTGTAGGGCTCACATCTCTCAAGCTTGGGGATGTATTTGACCTTCTCTGTGTGAGTTTTCCTTTTGAGCTGCAGGAAAGCAGGTATTTTATCAGAACTGATTAGAACATTTATTTCTTCCCTTAGGATTCCTTGATCAAATGTTCCCACCCTTAATTCTACGTTCCCTTAGCACGTGGTAATTTTATTGCCTCGTGTGAACGTGTACAAATTTTGGTTTCCTGAGGGAAAATGTGAGTTGCCTGTGAGATGTCAGTAAAACAAAGTCATGGAACAAACAGAATTTTTGTTCTTTTTAAGAGAGAAAATTTCAAAATGTGACATTGGATAATTTAAGTTCTCACATATAGCTTTATTATGTCACTATTTGTGTGTACAAAAAGTCCCTAGAAAAGTTTAAAATTTTAAGGGCTATCCATTCGTTAGATAACTGAATTCCTGTTTTGACTGATATAAGGAAAGTTACTAAAAGCATAAGTATATCCTTGAAAATACTAATACACTTAAGGGTTTGATACTCAAGTCCCAATATATTATAATGTGCTACTTCCTGAAAAATTCTCCAGTGTTAAAGTAAAAGGACAAACAATGTTGTCCTTTGTGATTTTAATTAGAACGAAATTTGAAAATGTTTATATTTTATGATTTGCAGTTCCAAAACCCAATGTCTAAAAGATTAAGTCCTAGAATGGTTTTTTGTGTAGAAAAGTTAACTTTTAAAAAAAATTAGTTAAAATAAAGACCTGAAATTAAAAAAAAAAATCTTTATCCTATGGAATTAGAAGTGGGGAGTTCTACTGTGTTACTCTTAAAGTTCTACTATGTTCATCTTTCTACACTTCTCTTTCTCCTCTGTTTAGAGCCCACAGAGCTCTCCATTGCATATTCGATATGGTCCCAAATCATTCATATGGCTTACAACATCCTTCATGAACTAGCTTCCAGACTCATTAATTTGTTTCTTTTCATTTTAGTCTCTTTGCTTTTGTTGTTCTGGAATTTTTTGAACTTCCCCTTTCTTAATGCTCATTGCCCTTACAATTATTTATTTAAAAACTGTACAGTGATATCAATGTCAATATTCTGGTTTTGATGTTACAATATAGTTTTACAAAATGTTACTATTGGAGGAAAGTGAGAAAAATGTACACATGGTCTCTTGCATTATTTTTACAACTATATGTATATCCAAAATTTTCTCACTAAAAATTTCAATTAAAAACAGAGAAAAAAAATCCTTCAGTCCTCACTGTTTAAACACCATTAGTCAGGGACTGCATGGTTCTTGCTTATTCTTGTATCTTTCTTGTTTGACCCAGTGCCTAGGAAAAGTTTTACCTGAATTAAAATTCTCTTGTACATCCCTGTAGAATGCACAAGAGAATTTTAGAATTGTAAAATGAAGCAAATCCATAATTCTGGTATCCAAGGGCACATAGCTAGTTAGTGCCAAAGATGATTCAACTAGGATCTAATTCCAAAGAACTTGGTCTTTTACTGTAAGTCCTTTTCTAGGCATAGATTTCTGGTTAAATTTACTCCTTCATTCATTTCTTCATAAATATGTGCCAGATTCTCTACTAGGCCTGAGATGTAATGGTAAACAAGATAGAGAGGTCCCTGCTCTCTGGACTTTTAGTCTGATTGGAAAGCCACATCAATCACATTATATGTTGTTTAGACAGTGGTACAAACTGAAATGAGTGCACTGAGAAAAAGAGACCAGAGTCAATGAAAGTAAATATCAAAGGAAATTACCTAGACTGAGAGGTGAGGAAAAGATTTTTCGAGAGTAAGACAAGTAAAATTAGATCTGAATACTGAGCACAATTTAATATTCCAGACAGAGGGAACAGCGTATGCAAGGGAAATCTGGCAGGAGGAAACAAAGTGCATCCAAGACACTGAAAGGAAGCCATTGGGGTTGCCACATAAATGGGAAGAGGGAGGTGACTGCCAAGTTATAGCAGGGCTTTAGGAGCTCTGCTAATTAAGGATTTTGGTCTTCAGACTGAGAGCTATGAAACAATGACTGTTTAAAAACAAAGATGAAGGCTACTTACTATATGATTCCAACAAGAGGTCATTCTGAAATAGGCAAAATTAAATTATGAAGACAGTAGCACATCAGTAGTTGTTAGGCATTAGAGGAGAGGGAGAGATGAACAGGAGAAGCACAAAGGATTTTAGTGCCTGGAAATTGTTCTGTATGATACTGTAATGATGGATACATGTCCTTATACACTTGTCAAGACCCATAGTGCATACAAAGCTAACAGTGAGCTATCATGTAAGCTATGGACTTTGGGTAACAATGATGTGTTCATGTAGGTTAAGGTTAATCCGTTGTAAAAAACGAATCACTCTGGTGTGGTACGTTGATAATGGGAGGCTGTGTATACTGTTGAGGAGGGGATATATGGGAATTATCTGAATCTTGTACTCAATTTTGTCATGAACCTAAAACTGGCCTAAAAAGTAGTCTATTACAAAAACTATAAAATATGATAAGGAATGTTTATCATGATTAGTTTTATGTTTACAGAGGCTCATTGTGACTTCTGTAGGGAATGTATTGAGATAGGAGAAAAAAGAGTGAATGCAGGAACTCTTGTTTGTATGCAATTGCAGTTGTCAAGGTGAGAGATAACCATGACTTTGATACATCACTGTTTCTCAACCATGGAGTCTGCCTTATATTCAGACATTCACAGTAACTGAAGATTATCTCAGAGTCACTCTTGTGGCGCAGCTCTCCTCAGAAGGGGACTTCTTTCTTCTAAGTCTCATCTTGTCCTAATTTTGCCTCCTAGATCTTCCACAGTAACATCAAATTCTATATATTGGGAAAGTGTAGCTTTTGAAACCAGACAGACCAAAATTCAAATGACACCTCCACCTCTAACTAGCTTTGTGGCATGGGCTAGTTACTTAACTTCTCTGGACCTCAGAATTCTTGGTGATAACAAGCTCTCAGTCATGACTTTACTGGAATCCTAAATCAAGATAAAATACAAATATATACATCACAGTGTCTGGTATCTCAAAGTCACTTATCCAATATTGGTTCAATTTTAAAATTATAAAAACATGCTGGTAAATCAGGTATACTATATGATTCAAATTTTGTCTGTAGTCTTTCCAAGCATCTTTTGGTATCAGAGTACTGCTTGGGAAAAGTACTGAAGATGAACAAATTTTTATTGATCTATAGAACACAATTTAAACTAAGTATGCAGTTTTCAAGCAGAGAAACAATACATTTTAAAATGTCCTTTTTAATCCCCATTAATAGGCTCATAATAGATATTTTAGAAGAGGTAATATGGAAGAAAATCTTACTGTAAGTATATTCATCATAACAATTAGAACTGAGAATTCAGTTCATGTGTCTAATTATAAATGAATGCCACACATTAAACAAAGGGACTGTGGAGTTCACACTTCCTTAATTATGGATTCAAGGGGATGCTAGGTTTGATGATGCTAGTTTCATTTTCATTACTATGTGCTGACATTCTCCTAAAACCTCAGCATAGATAAGTTTTCTTCCTTGTCATGTACTTTGTGACAGGTTAGCAACAATTCTAACTTCATGCTCCATTTTCTCTGTCTACTGAGGCAATTTGCTATCCATGCACTTTGTTATTTCCTCTGCTTTGTGGCTCCGACCTGTAAGGTGTTTCATGGTGGGAACTGCACTTTGAATACCAACACTTCAATTGCTCTCTCAACTGAGTAGGATCTATGCCACCTTAATAGGAGGATTTTAATATATAGGTCATCCTTTTACTTTAAACAGCTGGTCAAGACCATGGGCTGAGTTGTTTTAAAAAAATGTATCTCGTACTTCCCAGGGTTTTGGCATTTTACCATCATCACACTCAAGGTCCTCTGTGATCTGGCCTCTGCCACCTCACAAGGCTCGTCTCGTACTGCAGCCTTGATATTTATGATGGGAGGATATTAAACTGTGTGATATGCCCTAAAGTCTTTATGCCATTTTATACTCCTGCTCCCTTTGCAGAAGACATTTTCTCTGCCTGTAAGAATCAGCCCTTTTCCTATTCTCTACTTGCTTAAACAATTGCTCACCTTCCAAGATTCTATTGGGTGGCCTTTGTGATTGATACTTTTCTTTCTACCTCTTCACTCTCAGGTGCATTAGAGTTCTTTTTCTATTCCTATAGCTCCCTGGGCATCACTATGGTATAGAATGCACTACATTTAATTGAAGCTATTGGTTTATTAATCTCTTTTTCTGTCTAATCCATACCTACATCTCCAACACCTTTGTACTTGGAGCATAATCAAGATATTTAGTGCTTATTGAATTGATTAATATTTTTGGGAGGAAGCAAGGGAAACAATGACACTAATCATTTATTTTACCCTGTTGCAGGTACCATGTTATGTGTTGAGTACACAAAATCACCTGGTATAAGTCTTGCCTTTAGATACTTAAAATCTAGAGGAAGAGAGAGATATAAAAATTGACCATAATTCTCTAGCATAG